TGACTTGATCATAGTTATGCAAAGAATATCTGAATTTGCACAGAATGTGTGCGAAAATATTGTTACTTTTAAATTTTACTGATGCAATCTCTTAGTAAAAAATAAAAGTATATTTATTACATTGTTGATTATATTCGTCGAATAGTAGATTTGATATTCGAATTCGCTAACGTAATATTCGTTACATTAGATTAGTTTCAACTATATCAGTTTGTTAACGCACATATATTTTCACTTCGAAACTCTATTTTTTGTATTTCATAAATAACAACGGTATACAGTCTCTACAATGAAACATAAAGGAATTAATAAAAATAAATTGCTGAAATCTCCCTTCAGAAGCAGTTTTTTTAATCCCATTTATGTATTGAGTATATATAATCTACAATCATATATATTTCAGAGATAAAAGAGCTAAATTTCTTCTTTATCCAACTAAGAAAATTGACAGAGCCGGGTGACTTTTTTTCTTCACAAAAACACTTTTAAGGACTCGCTCCACTCAACTCTTTATCAACGATGCGCACTTAGGCGACGCAACAGGTAATGCGTCCATTGATTTAAACATTTCAAAGATTCCAGCCAATCAGCGCTTCGCCCACCAATAAATTCATTGATAAAATAAAGGAACGCTAATAAGTTAAAAAATGGAATCGGCAATTTCGGACGTTTCTCAATGCTACAAATTATCAAATTTTTGTCTCACACAAATCCATTACTTAACCATGTGATAAATTTTAGAGTCCATTAAAATTTAAAAGCAATTTATTTTTGTGATTACTTAAATTTATGTTTTGGAAATGAACACTGAGTTGAATTGATAAGTGTTACTCATAATGAAAATAAGTAAAATATATCCTTGTTTTATATTATAATCTGACGGCTAGCATTCAGAGTTATTCTAGAGCTCGTTCTAACGTTTAGTGTTCGAAGCCCGACCTGATAAAAAATAAATCTGTCTAGTAATTAGGTGGACGATACAATTTTCTGCTACTATACTGTATCTCGTTACTGAATTATATAAAATTTCTAATATGAAGCAACTAGTTGAAGAATGTATGCTGAATATCAAAATGATATAAAAATATTAACTATATTAAGAAAGATCAAGACCTATCCCATATAGGTTTCATATAATTGTTCTTTATACCAAAAGAACTTTATTTTTTCGAAAAATAATTCTTGTAAACGTCCGTGGTAATAAATAAGGTGTTTCTTAGTCAATTAATAAGGGAATAAGATTTTTTTTTTGATAAATTTAAAGTTCTTTTTTTTGCAAGTTACTACATGTTTGCTTTCCAGCGTGGATATATAAAATTTACACTAATTCATTCTAAAGAGATTAAAACAATTTTGTGTTATTCAAGTGCTTACATTGTATATACCTAATCAGTAAAAGATAAAGATCGTCCGTACAGTGAGAAATCAGTCCATCCTCATTCGTAACAGGAAGAAAGAAGTTATTACACTAATTGAGAGCTAAACGCACCGCATAGAAATTCACGAGTAGCGCTGCCGAGACACCGGACTATTAGTATTGGCGTAAAATAATGAAACCCATTTCACAGTTTAACGTAACTTGTGCGTTCATTAAGCGTGTGTCGATGGCCGGACTGTGCGGCTTTGGGTGCAACTTGCATAAATCAGTCCGGGGAATGCAGCTCGGCGTCCTAATGCGCTTTTGGTGTCGGTTGATAGCTCACCCCCCTCTTCCTACTTACCCCTCTCCATCTTTTAAACGCTTCACACAATTCGATGACTTTTATGGCAGTCGATGGGTCGGACCATCAAAATTGACATTGCTCTCGCATTTTCCGGAAACATATGTGTGGTGATAATAAATAAACGTTTTGAGATCATACAACCGGATTGAATCGAGACATCGGAAGTGTAATAATAAAGGAAATGAGAGCATCGTATATTTAATAAAATATTATCATAAGAAAATTCGTATTCTTCGAGTAATGCAAGCGACGGCAAACTTGCTCATATGCAGATTGCAGATCAAGAGTTATCACTTTATATGGAGATAATGTATTATAATTAAATTAAAGAAGAACTAAAGATTTCTTTTGAATCCAAGTACTTCAAAATACAATTGAAAGTAATAAAAAAATGTACGAAATAGCATAGTTTTGAAGCGGAGGTTGTTTGAAACGGCACGGATTTCTACGAACTCATTTTGAGCCACAGACTATAACTAAAATAAATGGACGAGCAGAGAACGGGAAGCAGCCATGTGCATTGTTTTCACTTTGCTGCTATTTCAAATCACCTTTTAATTTAAAACCTCTCGATCTCAGCGTACAAAATAACCTGAATGAGCTGACTAATCGGTTTTTATTCTGGCTCAGTCAAAGGATAAAGTATCAACAATTATATTCAGTATTTACGATGCTGCATGTAATATCGAATATTATTCTAGGTATCATAAAAATATACGAAGCGAAAAATACAATCCATTTAGATATTCTAAATGCAAATCTGCATACTTCACGCCGTTGAAATACCCCAGCTCGTTAAATAACTACACGTTTTATGAAAAAATATTTAGCAGTAAATGTGACACTTCTCACTTGGCCGGGTATTGCTTTTAAATAAGATATTCGATTCATGCATTCAAATAAGCAAGTTTCGGGTTTCTTTTAATACACACTTTTATTATTCGTCTCGTTTAAAACGTCTCGTGGCAGCTCCGCAGTTGGTTGTCTGGCAGTTAAAGATAACGGCACTGTCAGTATTAATAATTTGTACAATGTTACGACACTGCTATAACTACACTCACTAATTTAGATCATATAATCTAAATGTTCTATCATTAGAGACACAATTGACTGTAAATAATAATAATCAATGATTTACAGCAGGTGTCAAGATTTTTAAAAGCAACTGGAACATGTTACTCTCTTAGACGATCATTTTGTTACGGGCTTCAGATGAACCGAATATTTGTATGATAGCAAGTAATTTAGACTTGCTACGAAATAAATCATAATAATGTGTACATACAAAACAGTAGTGTATAAACTCGACGTGTGTCAAGCAAATGTATGGAAACTAGTGCGCGTTGATCCACGCGGCGGGAACTAATGTAAATGAGACATTTTGCTGCTCAAGGTAAATACTTTAAATATGTGAATGAAAATTATAGAAACGCCTATTAAAATCGAAGTCATCAAACAAAACTGAAACTGAACCTGGAATTTCGAAAATACTAAAGTCAATATTTGTTTGTTTGATAAAAGCAAAATATGAATATATGTAAAAAGCAATGTTTTAGTTTTTTCACAAAAGCGTTTGTAATTGAAAACCTAAGTTACTTTGCGGACAATCCAAACGAGGTGAGTTGGTTGGTACTACGTATCTTACTCGGTTTGTCATTTCGAAAACCATAAAAGCACATACAAAGTTTATTGTTTTTAACACCAAAGATTATTTAGATTTTTATCTTTTTTTTCTTGTGGTATGTGTCGCGTTAAACTTCAAGATGTGTACCTAAATATAAATTCAAAAGAATTTAACAAAAATAAACTCTATTGTAAAGCTTTAAGAGTGTCACGTATACGCCGTGAATCGCAAAAGCTAAACCTGAAGTCGTTATAGGGGTCCCATTTTATGACGAATCCAATTTACTCGTCAGAATGTTAAGACTGTTATAGCTACCTTCTACACTTGACACTTGGTAACCAGCAGATTATGTGCATATATTGCATTTTGATACTTGCTACTTTTATTAGGATATAAACCAAAGCTAGAAGTTGAAATAATTGCTTCTGTACATAAATCTATAATAAAATTATTAAGAAGAATGACTTGGTTGTTTGTCTGCATCGAAAAGGCTCCGAAATTCGGAAAGCTTCATCATACGCAGATGATATAAACTATATTTTTTGCAGAAAAATAGCTAGTACTAAGGCTAGTAAAGTAGCTAGTGATAGTAATATCTAGTATAATACACTCATATTATGGTATCTTTCCATATTGACAGTCTAAGTATGAAATCCCTGACTTGACTACAAAAATCTGTTTCATTGGGAATATTGTTGACAGATAATATATCCAAAAAAAAAAATTCCAGTCTTGTTGCCTTACCAAAGAGTTAGGTTTCAAAAATTATATAAATATGTTTTTAAAATTAAGGAATATGAGGCATTTTTGTAATTTTTAGTACCTACTGAGTAAATTTTAAGTAAATGTAGTCTAAAAAATGCTTCAAATAATGATGATTAAAAAATAAAAAAAAGCTGTCTTAATTTATTTATTTGAAATTATTTATTTGTTAACAAAGGTTAACACATACACATAATTACACGAATAAGGCCAATAAAAAGCTGTGTTATTATTTTTTTAAGAGACAACTAATAATCTCTCTCTTTTCTTTATCTCCATGGGCTCTGGATTTGTCACGACAGTTCCATCTTAAGAATCCAACCCGCATACTGCTTACCTAGTGTAATGTGTGTCAAGCCAAACATTCAAACGTTATGAGGTAAGGGACGTATCGTAACGTTAATGTGACGACATCTTTTACGAGCAGCCAACCACTTTTAGGCAGTTTTGTTCCTTTTCTTTAGCCGTTTAAGAAAATTGCTTTCAAGTGTCGACTTGGAATCACTTTTTCGGTTCGAAGGTTAAACTGTTTTGTGATTTGAAAAATTTTTCACGTGCAATAAGACGTTTCTGAGAATTTTTTAATATTTCTTTAAGTCGGTAAACTTTTAATTAAGCGTGAATGTGTAACAGACGAAAGTTATGTTTCGCGTACAGTTAATCTTTGTGTGACTTCAGCGCGAAGGTGGAGATATCGTTGGTGGACTTATCGTAATTTAGAGCCTCCGATTAGGTCGCGCCACCCGAAGTACACTAACGAGGGTTCGTTCATTCTTTTTTTATTTCAACAAAAGAGTACGATGCCGATGTTTTGTCTCCTACGGACGATTGCGAGAAGTTAATTGGATTGTACACGCCGAATTGCCGAGTTTTATTTTAGTGACATATGAATAAAACTGATAGTGAAAACGGAGCTAAGTCAGTGTCAGCTTAATTAAGAAGATGAAGTACTTAAACCCGAAATTCTATATTTATAATAAAACAATAATAAAAAAAAAGTAGTTAATATTAAGAAGACACTAAAACTGTACTTTGTCAAGTGAATCTAACTTGTAACTGCAGTTTCATTTGAGCTTATTTTTTTTCTGAGAGTCAGAACATTTACCAATAACATGTATATATCTGATTAATATTTATTAATAGTAAAGTTATCATTAAAAATATATTTTTGTGTTTATAAAAGTACAACAAAAGTATATTGTACATATTATTAATTTGTGGTCATCCCACCAATAACCGACTATGGCGAAAGTTGTTTAATAACTGTATTTCAGATCAAACACACTAACCACTACGCCATTGAGCTCCTCATTAATATTTTATATAATCTTCTGTTAATTACACTTTATATTAAGAAAATGGAAAGGAAACCTGTCCTTTACCTGTCTTACAATAAATGCATGTATGGTAATTTGAAACCCATAACTTAAAGTACAATTATACTCGTAATTATATATTAAAAATATTAAAACGAAATTGTTGAGTATTGCAGCAATATAATACTCAAATAAATATTAATAGAACTAATCCATTATATCCTCAACTAATTCAAACACAAATTATAAAATAGTAAGATAAAATGTGTTTCCTTACCTTGGTCTTTGTGCTTTTGAGTGGAGTTCCTGACGACACAGCACATATTTCTACTTCATATCTATCTGCACCAGTCTCACGGTCCAGCGAAATAGCCGTTGATAAAATCCCCAACGACGAATCTATGTCGAATAAACGGTCCACTTGTTTACCACTACCCGTCACATTCACTATATAATACTCTAATCCCAATTTATAATTATTAGTTAAATTTAAAACAGCCGTCCCTGCCGGCTCGTTTTCAGCCACAGAAACTGATTTAATATTTGTCCAAGTGACACCTTCTAACTCTGTCCCACCCAATATAACACTGAGGTATGTCTCTGTACTTCTTTGTTCACTCAACACCGCCTCATCCGTAGCTTTTATGACCAAGCTCCACCTAGCCTCAGGCACTGATGGGGGATACCGTAATGTTAGCGCACCGTTACTCCTATGCAAATCAAATAGATCGCTCCCACCATGTATAAGTTTGTAAGTGACCAGCCCATTCGTTCCTGAGTCTAAATCTCGTGCCAATACGTTCATTATAAATATACCTCTTCCAACACTTCTACCCATTCTATCTAAGTTTATGACAGCAGCATTCATAGAGACAAAAACGGGAGCATTATCATTGATATCTTCAACAATAACGGTCACCAATTTCTCAGCTGACAATCTTAATGAAGATGGTTCGGCTCGATCGTAGGCGACTACAGTAATTCTAAACGTATCAATGCTTTCTCTGTCAATTGGTAATAATGTATGTATGACTCCAGTGACATTATTTATAGCAAAGTGACGTTTATTATCAATTGGATCTTGTCGTTTTATAGAATAATAAACTTTTCCATTCAAACCAGAATCTGGGTCCTCTGCAGTCACTGTAACTATTGGTGTGTGTTTTGGAATACCTTCTCTTATTTGACGTACAATTGCAGTATTAGTGAAAACTGGAGCATTATCGTTAGCATCAATCACATTTACTGTAAATGAAATACTCGAATATAAGGTTGGGTTACCATTATCCGTTGCTGTAATGACTAGGACGTATGATGTTAATTCTTCATAATCTAATTGTTTATGTAGGAAAAGCTCACCTGAATAGCTATCAATAAAAAATGCTTCTTTTCTATTCCCAGACGTTATGGAAAATTGCAATTCACTGTTGACTCCTAAGTCAGCATCATTGGCGTGAAATTGACAAATTTTCTTATTTATCGGTTCTGTTTCTAAGATCGACACCTTCATATTGGATTGTGTAAAAACAGGTGCATTATCATTCTCATCTAATATATCAACTGTTATAGTTGTGGTAGCTGAAAGCCGTACTGATTGACCAGTATCATGAGCTAGTACTGTAAGCTGATATCGATCTATAGTCTCACGATCTAGTGGCTTACTTATAAAAAGCTGTCCTGTTGCTTCATCTAATGAAAATTGCCCCATATTATCACCACCAATCAGTTTATAGTAAATGTCACCATTTAGACTTTCATCGGCATCAGTTGAATAAACACGCATTATTGAGGCTCCTACTGCAGTTCCTTCTGAAACTTCGACTTTGTAAGGTGTTCTCATGAAAATTGGGGCATTATCATTGACGTCAGTAATATAGATTGTAACTCTGACCGAGTCTGAAAGTTTTGGATGCCCATTATCACTAACTGTTACTGTCAATGTTATGTAATTTTGACCTGTACTATGGGCTAAGCTTTCTCTATCAAAGGATCGCAATGTTTTTATAAAACCATTTCTAGAATCAATTCTAAAATCATTTTGTACTATAGGCAAACTGAAAGTCAACTCTGCATTACGTCCTATATCTTTATCAGTCGCTGTTAGTTTGCCAACGAACGTGTCAGGGGGCTCATTTTCTTTAATTTTAAAAATAAAAGTAGTGTTCGTAAATTGAGGGCTATTGTCGTTTTCGTCCAAAACATGTATTACTACGGGAACTTGTGATGATCTTGGAGGTGTACCGTAGTCAGACACTACTAATGTTAATGAATAATAATCCCTCTCTTCTCGATCAAGCGGACTTTTTACGTAGAGAAATCCATCAGGGAAAATTCCAAACTTTCCATCGGCGTTGCCTTCTATGATCGAATAAGATATTCTCCCATTCAATCCCAAATCTGCATCAGAGGCTGATATTGCAAAAAATCGACTATTTACAACAGTCGATTCTAATAAAGATGTTTCATAAGATGTATGATCGAAAACAGGAGTATGATCATTAACATCATAAATGATGACAGATACTGAATGTTTAGCCACAAGTGAAGGATTACCATTATCTGCAGCAGTGACTTCTATATTCATGACGTAACCAGGTTCACCAGAAATCGGTTTATTCAAATAAATCACTCCAGTAGTTTCTGAAATTCTAAAACTGTTATCACTATTACTCAAACTGTAAAATATTGTTCGATTTGATCCAGAATCACGATCTATAGCTCTTGCGAAATAAACTTCTTGTCCAACTGCCATATTTTCTGGAATATGAACTTCATCTTTATCTTCAATAAATATTGGATAATTATCGTTGACATCCAAAACTGATATATTGACAGTAACAAAACCAAATGAGACGCCACTTTTAGCCATTATCTTCAAGCTATAGGTCATTTTATCTTCTCTGTCTACATTAGCATTTGTAGTAATAATACCACTTCGTTCATCTATTCGGAAAACTTCTTTAGGATCACCCTCAATAATATAATAAGATAAAGTATCACTAGATATTTTTGCATTTACTCTTCCCACATAGCGTCCAATGTCGGGCTTAGAAGTGCCTTCATCTTCAACAATTTTAAAACGGTAACCATTAACTCCATCAAATTCAAGGCTCTTACGATGTGATAATTTTACAATTTCAACAATTGCATCTTCACGAGCTTTTTTATTACCTTTATCTTTACACGATATTTTCAAGGTATGTGTACTATGAAGAGATTTACGTAAGTCCTTTTGCAGTGTGATATATCCAGTCATTGGGTCTACTTCGAAATATCCGTCACCACCACTCTCTAGTTTGTAAATTATTTTTGCGTTATCTCCTTCATCTAAGTCCAATGCTTTTAGTTGCAAGATGTTTGTACCAAGGGACATATCGTCATTTATAGTTTCTACATAACGACGAGGATAAAAAATAGGATAGTTATCATTTATATCTAATACTTTAAGATATATTGTAGCAGTAGATGATTGAGGAGGGAACCCTTGGTCTTTGGCAATTACCTGTATCTCATACATAGGAATCTTTTCTCTATCTAATTCAACAATAGTACTTAACTGTCCAGTGATGGGGTCTAGAATGAAGGTGTTCGGATATTTTCTTTCAATATTTGATGTTAAATAGTAAGACACTGAGCCATTTGTTCCTTGATCATTGTCAGACGCTGTCAGTATCATAATTTCTTTGATGGGTTTTATATTTTCATGTAGAGTAACGTTAATTTGTGACTGAGGAAATGTTGGAGCCTTATCATTTTCGTCCAAAATAGTTATTTTGAGTCTAGTATATGCCCATTTCGGATTTGGTCCACCATCTCTTGCTGAAACGTTTAGTTCTACTGTGCCTTGGATTTCACGGTCTAAGATAGATCGTGTAGTCACCAGCCCAGTCATATGGTCAATCATAAACCATTGTTGCTGATTTCCATCATAAAAGTCATAGTAAATTTCTGCATTCACTCCACTGTCTTCATCAGTAGCAGTAATACTAGCAACATATGATCCTGGTGGCGCAAGTTCACTTAAAATAGTGGAATATTCAGATTTTTCAAATACGGGTTCATGGTCATTGACGTCATTAACGTGAATTACTAAATATGAGGTAGATGTTCTTGATGGTGTACCCTGATCCTTAGCAACGACAGTCAAATTATATTTACTTATTTCTTCTCTATCTAAAATACCATTTACATGCACGATATACACACTTGAAGAGTTTTCTAAACGAAAATGGTTGAGCTCGTTACCTGTTACTATACTAATACTGGTAATACCATTCAGACCAGCATCTAAGTCCGTTACTGTAATGGCTGCAACTAATGAACCATTTTTGGCATTTTCATCAACCGTAGCAAAATTAGCCGTTGGTGGAACATAGGTAAATGTAATAACAGGGTCGTGATCATTTGCGTCAATGAGATTTACTGTAACGTATGTTCGTGCATCTTGGCGTGGTACACCGTGATCCTTAGCAATTACCGTTAATACGCAAGTCATGTTACATGTTGTATTAGTGCAGTATTTTGGACAGTTCAGTTTTTTGTTTGTAGTTATAACACCAGATTCTGGATCCACTGCAAACTGTTTTTCTGTATCTGTCACTTCATATGTGATTTTACTATTATCTCCCAAATCACTATCTGTTGCTGTCACTTTTAAAACTGTTGTTCCTGGAGGTACACTTTCATTTAATGATACTGAAAAATCACTCTGGTCAAAAATTGGAGGATTATCATTTACATCTAAAATAGACACATTAACTTGCAAATACCCGTATTTTGGTGGATTTCCCCCATCACGTGCCGATATATTTAAAATATAAAAATCTGTAGTCTCACGGTCCAACTTCCCAGTTGTTTCCAAATGTAAATAAGATGTTTGTCCACTCGGATTAACAGTGACGTTCAAACGAAATTTTCCTTCGTTATCCCCGTCAATTATTCTATAGTCATTTGTAATACCGTTGTCCCCCAAATCCTTATCGGTGGCCGCATCAAGCAATAATTTTGTACCCGCTGCTGCGCTCTCTGAAAAGGCTACAGCGATACTTGGTTCTGGAAATTCTGGATAGTTATCATTCACATCCATAACTCTCAATCTCACTTCAATAGGATAAGTTGGTTGACTTGATAACACAACAAAAGCATATCGATCCACGGTTTCCCTATCAAGGACAACGTTAGTCTTAATTTCGCCAGATAACGGGTCTAAAATGAACTCTTTCGGTGGTTCATTGAAACGATAGGTGAAGCCAGGCTTAGTCGGAATTCTTCCGACGATAGTTCCAATGGGTTGGTCCTCAAGCACGCTAAGGTCAACGCCGGTGTCAACGGCGCGTGACTGCATCTGCTCGGCAGCGGCGGAGATTCGTGCTCCGGCGAGTGCTACCAGCACCACCAGCGCCACATGCCATCTCCCCATCCTCGTCATGACATCGACAGAATCATCGCAAAGTTGGTTCCTCTTCAGCAAAGCTACCGGGAACACTCGCTGTGTCCCGTTCGCGCAATCTCGCGCGCTCGCTCGTCTCAGGTATGCAGCATGGCCGCGACGACCTGCGCGCGCACGAATATCTCACGGAAAGTGCGACCACTGCGCCTACGCCGTCACATTCATTCGTAAACACACGTGACACTCACTACACCGTTCTTTAACCTAACGTTTTAATCCAGTGGCGAACGTTGTATAAAGAACTTGTTCAAAGAGCACTATAATAATGACACAATTTAACAGCACTTTTCAGTTACGTTTTGGTTACAATTTTACACAGACAGGTCGCGTGGCGAGAGCGGCATGCGGGCTGCGTCGCGGTCAGCGCGGCACTAGCAGGCGGAGGCTTTCACACCGCCCCGCGCCCCACCTCGTGCAGCGCCGACCCTCCTCCGCAGCTTTGAAAGCTCCCACTATGGCTGCGTGATGATGATGCCAAGATAATGGCCGCCGAAGGATTCTACTATTTATTGTTCGATACGAGTCACTCACTATTCTGAGAAAGGCTCCCGGGTGCACAGGTAGATTTTTAAATACTTTTTGCTCAACTTGAATATTAAACTTATTGGTCTTGTCTAATACTTTAAATTGTTGTAAGAGAAACAAGCAAACTTAAAATTTATTTATAGCCATGAACTTACGTTAAAAATTAAATAAAGATGTAACAAGCAACGAAGCGCGTTGAAGTCTTTAATAAGGAACTATAAATAAAAGCCCGATTAGCTCTTGCGCAAATATTAAATTAAACGCTGCCACGATTTCCATCAATATAGGGATCTAATTATAAAAATTATTACAAACAATAATGCACCTTAAAGAAATATCTACAATTTGATTCGATAAGATTTTGTCATCATAATTACATTTTATAGTTTTATAAAACATTTCTTCAGTATAGGTGCTTGATATTATAGTACCCAACATATACGCCCGCTCAAATTTAAAAAATGCATAAATCGTTTGTTATGTCTTAATAACTCAAATATGAAGCAAATATGCAGCTATCAACATAATAAAAAAATACTACAATAGGTATTAAAAAAACAAACGTTACAATTTACCTACCTATTCCTGATGAGCAACTTCATAGTAATGAGTATTCTTCCATCTAGCATTCAATAAACCACTGTCAAATGCACAGAAATAAATTGGAGAATTAAAATGAAAATAAGTACTTGCAAACTTTACAGACTTTCTAGATATTTGTTTTAAATTTTAAACATTTCGCTAAATGCACAGAAATAAATGTTTATATAGGAAGATTGAATGTTATTTCTGTGGCTAAATAACTTAATAAAAATGATGAATCATGTCAATTTATTGAAAGCACCACCCTATTTTATGACGTTACACTTGCAGATACTCCATAATACGTTTTAGCTACTGATCTTGGAATCTAAGCAATGTATGTAATGTTGTCTAATATTTATTTATTTATTCAGTAAACAAAAACGTTGTACGCATGTTAGTGTCTATAATATTCTAAACATTATCATAAAAATATTAGATTTCTTAACTCCTTCTCCACTTAAAGTTAATACTTTAACAGTTCTATTAATAAACAAGGTTTAGCGTAAGAGTAAATTTACGCTAAAACTGCAATTTTAATATTAGTCCATATTCATATTATACAACCAATAAGCAAACCTACCTTCTAGAAGTAAACTTTACTAAGTCTCTGTTTATTGATATGAATTTTGACTGATAATAAGTGGTCTCAGCGTAAATTTATTCCAACGCTAAACCTTGTTTATTAATACAACTGTTAATGTACAAATTTAATACTCCAAATGGTCCAAAGCTTTTACATCACGTATTATTGTACGAGTAATAATAAGAAATCTGCGCGTGTGTTTGAAAGTATATTTACAGAATACCAAAACTGGGAAAAAAAATTATAGACTTCATTATTATGAATGCGCACATAGGAAACGTTGTATTTGCGTTTGTATTAGGAAATTAAGTCATCATCTACAGTCATCGTGTCTGTACGACTGAGAATCGAACCCGAGACCCCATGATTTCATGATATCTGCGTAAAAGAAGATCGCCTAAAATATAATAGAGTTTTTCTGTAACATTTCAAAGCTGTTATATAAAAATTCATAATAGTGATTATGTTTGTGTAGTTTATATTTTTATATACCTATAGACCAATTATTACTATTTGCTTTCTTCCTAGCAACATTGCGAACTGGACAAAATTATATCTAGATTAGGGTAGTATTTTTTTATGTCAGAAATATGAAAGTTGATATTTGGGCTACTGAATAAATAGTAAATACCTGTTTTAGCATTTCTAGATATTCTAGCTCTAATAGGTGAAATTAGATTTCACAGTTTGTATTAAAGAAAATAACGTAATGTGTACAAGCAAAACCACTGGAAAAAGCTGCTAAAATATAATGTTACCATTATTATACGTCTCCAAAAAGTTTCAGGATTATATTATGCTTACGCATATATCGCCATTTCTGAATTTGGTAAACAACTTCAGTAGCCCTATGCGTTGACGCATATGCTCTCTACTTTTCCGTCTTCTCGCACTTTGTTTGTTGTCCGTTTCTTTGAATTTTCATCAGAGGTACATACCATTTTTGATATGATTGATCAATTTAACTACTTTAACTGTTTTATTTTCAATTTACCTGTTAATATATATTTCTACTAGTTGACCCGGTGTACTTCGGATAGAATATACTTATGTAACGAAAACAGGAGAAGTTCAGTTAGCGGCCTTATCACTATAAGTGATCTCTTCCAGGCAACCTTGGGATGGAGTTTAATATAACAGAGCTAATGATGGGGTGGTGGATGATGTACCTATTAACAATCTCGTATCTCTACTATGACAATTCCAAATCGAACCAGTCATTGAGTCACAATAGATCTTCAAGGTCGCAGTGGCTACAGTTCCTCATGGAACTGCATAACTCCTTACAACAATAAATAATAATAACACGACTCAGTTCTTTTGTTTCGGTAATGTTTTTTATGTGTTCTTAACTATATAAATAGTTATACAGTTAAACGTATGTGCTCCAAAATTTATCATCAGCCTATTAAAGTAGCTCCATAGCTGGGGCACCTGCCTTCCCGATCATTAGAATTGAATCAAACCGAATAGGGAGAATGGGCCATGATACACTACGCGGGCAGTTTCTAGATGGGTGTTAATAACAATAGGCACTGGCCCAGCGGCTTAACATGGCTTCCGAAGCACTGAGGAGCGCAAGATAATATTTTTTGGTCCTCATCCTATGACCCTTTGAGAAAGATATTTAATTTCTGCATACTCATTAAGCTCCAGAGTCATTATCCTGTCCTAAAACATTAGATGTATCATACTAGCTAATAAGATGCATAGAACATTAAAACTATTTGTGACTGAGTGATATAAGGCAGGAATACGACCTTCGTAGCCGAGTGGCTCATACACCAGTTTCAAGGTGTCGCGATTTCAAACCCCGTGTCCCGGGTTCGATTCTCGATTGGGTCAATGTAAATAATGGACTTTTCTATATTGTCTCGGATCTGGATTGTTAGTACCTTCGTTGTCTCAGATACTCTATAATACGGGCGCTATAGCTACTCTGGTTGGAATCTGAGCAATGTTCATAATTTCTAGTTACATTTCATTTTTAACCGATTTCAAAATCGAAAAAGAGGAGGTTATATATTTAACGGCGATGTATGTTTTTTAAGTATGTTCGCCGATATTTCCGCCAAATATTGACCGATTTTCAAAATTCTTTTTTTATTAGACAGCTTAATGGATCGTGATAGACAAATTTAAATTTTATCGAAATCGAAGCAGCAGTTTTTCTATTATAACAAAACAAAATAACATGTTTTATGAAAGCAGGTTTAGGTGTACCAAAATCTGATGGCAACTCGAGAAATTTTAATTTATAGAAGGCAATACTACGGAAGTAGGATAAAGATGTCTTGATACTTGTAATATTTTTAATATAATAAACACTTTAACTGCTTCATAGCATTGAACGTACTCCTGGTCATATTCTTATCTCGACAAAACATAGATAAACCATCTGTGTGGGATAATATAGTGCACCAACATACACCTGATTAATATTTTGACGGGACAGCATCCGGCCCATAAAAAAATCAATAATATTTTACCTGACTCGGAATCTTGCACAAATAAATAAGAGACTTTATATATTCCTTTATTGCTAATCTCTACTAAAATTGCAACTGCAGTTACGCTTACACATCTAAACCAAATCTGCTTTCATTTTCATCTCTTCAAAGTTCCTATATTTACCCGGTGCCGGTGTACAAAAATGTCTTATCTTCTCCTTCACTCATAATTCGTTTTATTGTAGTAGTCGACACGCCAACGAATAATTACGTATTATTTCTTTGAAAAAAAAAAGTATCAAGACTCGTCATTGCTAGTTAATGGTCTATTTATAAACACACTTTAAAATAAAAATAAAATGTCGTTGATCTTCAGCTTCTTCTCATAAATTTTGCTATAAACATAAAAAAGCAATATTTGTCGCTTGAGATCTCAATGGATGGATATTATATTTGAACAATTTCGCATTCACAATACTATACTGGAAAAAAATCTTAATGAAATATGCTCAAAGTATCCACTATGTCCCTGGTAAAAGGGACAAAGGACAAAAATCATCTCAGAGTACAGACTACAGAGTGGATTTTTAAGCATTTTTCATTAAGAATATCTAATATAACTTTCGGGCATTATCACAAAATAAATTAATATTTTCACAAATATTCATAACAATTTGCACTTGACAGTTGTCAACAGTAAACAATTTATATTGTTTTCAATCTCATCTTGACTGTCATTAATGAATATTTTTATTTAAATAGATATTCAATATTTTTAGTGTTACCAATTATATAAAAAATATTAATATCACTAAAAATAATGAAATATAACGATA